GTCACACTGTTATATAATTTCCAACAGATAATCACCCATCGATGACATGTTGAAAATTTTTTCTGTCTTTAAAGGTTTCCTTTTTAGGAAAGAGTTTGATTTATTATAGTGCCTCAAAACCCTAGTTACGGTTTGCAGCGTAAACTTATAGTCTTTGCTATTATCAATGACTACCGTAATTCATAGTGTACTCATATCACTCTGCTACCTTATTATTTCTGACAGATAATTTGGTAATAGTTTCAGGTGCAAAATTTATTTTAAACACATGAACAACTATATGTAATGTAGGAGAGTTATTGAACCAAGTATGGTTAAATCAATACATTAACCACTAAATTAAGATACTAAGTGCATAAAAAAGGCTAAACTCTTGTTAATTATGTGCACATTTAAATGTTAAATGCAAACAAACGAACGCCTTTAAATGGGCTCGTTTGCACTCATCAATTTTCTCTAAGTAACTTCTAATCAAATCTGATTGTGCCAAACATTATCCAAAAAATTACAATATTCTATTTAAATTATCAAATCATGATTATCAATCATTTCTGAAGTTTAATTCGGACAAATATATAAAATTAAAATTTTAATCTCAAAATGTCATTCACTTTATAGATACAATTATTAAGGCTCAGTTTCATAAAAAATATCCGTGATAGTTTAATGGTCAGAATGGGCGCTTGTCGCGTGCCAGATCGGGGTTCAATTCCCCGTCGCGGAGGTTATAATTTTTTTGGCTACACATACGTTATATTTTTGGTGCGAATTGTCGCAGAAAATTTCTGACATTTTCCCAGTTTATTGTCACGTAGAGATTGTAACGAATCTACGTTCTGAATGATAATTCCAATGTCAGGTGTTGTTCACTAAAGAGAGGATTGTTGCCGACTCAGAATATGATATTTCGTCGATTCCGATGGGCATCGAGCATCAATATTGTCTAATATACCCAGTTATCTGCGGTAGACTATACGATTTTTGGCTGGGTCAGTCGCCTGTCGCATGTCTACCAGCCGCACACTTAGACATTAAAGTACCATTACATGGTTACCCATTCCTTTTTTGGTCACCATTGAACGTTTGGGAATTGTATGATCTGTTGCTAAGGGCGTGATTGCAATTATATTCAATTAACTTTATTTGATATTAAGTGACACAATTATGTTGTAACTGATTTCTATCGTTGGTTTGATTTATTGAATTGTTTTGGGTAATATTCGTAATTTTTATATGGCGTATTAAGATTTTTCCCATATGTATTATTATCTTTTATCCGATACTCGACGTTTCTTGTTGTTGTTAGCATCTTGATCATTGGATATATCCCCTTTTCTTTTAGAATGAAGTTGTTTTGTAAGTTTTTTGAATGTTTCTCGATTAATATGGTGAATTCTCGTGTAGTAGTAATGGGTTTGATAAATTTTTTGAGGTATTCAGCATTTACATGCAACGAAATGTTTAGCTCGTTCGAGACTCTATACGAAGTAACCTGTTTTTTGCTTGCAACTGTCGCTGGCCCTATGAAGAGTGCCTTGAGTATCCCCTCCCGTTGCGTGGTATATATGATGGTCTATCTAGACCTGATCGACGATATCTAAGGTAACTTGTTTTCCTCTCTTTTCCACAACTTGTTGATCGATATCTACTGGTCTGGGTAAATTCCAATGTTTTAGTTCCATTAGAGAGATACGTAATGCCGAACGTTTTCTCGAATTAAGGACAAGTTCAGTGGTTGGTAGGTACTCTGACCAACTATTTTCAATATATGCTCCATAACTCCTGATAGTTTGCTTGCTGAGACCATTCATACGTTCATTAGCACCATTAGACTTTGCTCTGTATATTGAAGTTGTCCAATGGGAAATTCCACATTTAACAAGATCTTTGTGGAAATCGCCTCTGAACTTTGGTCCCGTTATCAGTTAATATTGTGAGTGGCAATCCACCTTGCAATATTAGTCTATCTTCCAGTCGTTGAAGGGTCTTTTAGACAGTATTGTTCTTTTTGGAGGGTATTAAGTAAGAATGCCTAGTGAATAAGTCTACAACTATCAAAATCTCATTGTATCCATCATGCGACTGTGGTAGATCCGTTATGCGATCTGTACTCATAATACGTTGGGGCGCTGTTGGAATTGGTATATATCGATAATTAGCAAAAGTAAAATTTGACAGTTTATTTGCTTGGCAAATAGTGCATGAGTCCACTACCATGCGTATTAAGGTGTGCATATACTCAAATTGGTATTCTTGTTCAACGTCACGTTGAGTTTCATTTATCCCTACGTGCATATTGTTCGCTATATGGTTGCTCCAAATAATCCACAGAATAACATCTTTACAGGCTAATGGTACCTGCCAGCAGTCTTCGTATACTAATAGTTTTGTTTCGTGAACTATCATTTCCTTATGCTTTCTATTAACTGACTTATCTTTACACATTTCCAGTAATTCCCGGTGTAGAGTAAAAGGTAGTCCAGTTAACTTATCTAAAGGTTCGAATCCGTATACTAGTTCGTAATATCGACAATTAACTCCGATACAAGGTATAATTCCATTTCACTTTCATTTATCTTGGTATGCATTATTATATTTTCTTGGTTCGGGATTTCACTATTGTTTTTGAAATTGTCGATTAATCTGAGTGATACTTCCCTTATTCCACTGTCTTTGAATAAAATAACTTCAGTTTTAGGAATATCTGATGATTGGTGGATTGGATATCTTGATAACCCATCTGCCATAACATTGTCTTCTCCTTCGCTGAAACAAATGGTAAGATCGAATTAAAGCATGAACTCCGTAATTCTAAACATATGTAGTGTCAAACGAATGTTCGTTTGAAAATTAGTTAAATTTTTATGGTCTGTAACTATCGTAAGTGGAGACCCTATTAATCACTGTTCGTATTGTCCTAACACTTTGTCGATTGCCAATAGTTCTAATTCGTACACAGTATAGTTCTTTTCTGGAATTGTGAGCTTGTGGCTGGAGAATCCTGGAACGTTACCTTGACGTTAAGCAGTTGAATTTTTGATGGCATTTATGTATTCCTTGAGGTCAGTTTGATCCGTTGGTTTGTCAGTTAACCGAATTACCACAGCTCCTGTTGCATACCTCGACGCATCCGTGAATATGATAATTGGCTACCCCGAAGTAAATCGTCCTAATGATGGCAATTTTATTATTATTCCTTTAAATGTTGTAAATTTCTGAATTATCGTATCTGGCATTTTGATGTTTTCAGTGACAATTACTTACAACTATGTTGTATTTATTATTTCAATGTCATCCAATTAATTAATTTTATTGTTCTCACAATTGAATAAAAATTACTAATGGAAACTTCTCTTATACATATTCTTTGAATAGTGTCCAAATATATATCTATATACTTTTTAAGTGTGTTTGTCATTTTTATATCCTCAATAAAAATAAATAAGTATTTTTACACTGTAAACTTTAATAAATAGAAAGACTTTCGTGTTAATCTATAGTAATCTTTTTTAATACCAAACAATAGACTGTTGCAATCAAAGTAAAAAACCACAACACGTTAACGGGTTCTTATGGCGTTGATAATACATTTTGAACAAAAAGCATTTAACAACGTCTTGCTTTGTCGTCATACTAACTTTACGCTATCGTTAAGGAACTGTCTCTGATACTAAGAATACAAAAATAATACCATTCATTATATACCACAAGATATTTTTAAAAAAACCAAGAATGAAAATTAAATATCAATTAGAAAACTATTAAAAAAAAAGGATGATCAGAAAATAAATTTGGTAAAATGAGTTATCTTCCTGTATGTTCAGAAGCAGAACTGAAAAAAAAGTTTATCATCATTCAATCCTTCTTTTTTTTTAAGTTTAATTGTATTAATTCTCCAGAATTAATTAGAATATAAACAAAAAACATTAATATTCTCATTATGGTTAAGAAAATAAAATACTTCTTTTTTAATAATGGTAACAAAAATTTCAAAGGTTGCTTAAAGTTAAATATAAAGTCAGATGGTGATGCATGATGTAATCCATGGCACATATTCAAATGAATCATCGCCGGATAAAAAAAAGACAAGTGTGGTTGTCATTCATCAGTAAAATTTTCCTCAAAGCTAACTTTGAAATTATCGTAACCACTAGAAGAAAATGATTAAAAACATATAAATATTTCTAATCGAAGTAATTAATTTCAGAATATAAAAAGAACTATTATGAACTCATAATATCAATAGTCACGAAACAAAACAAAAAATTTCATGCGAAATAAAATTATCAAAATTAAATCATAAACGAAGAATTCCTAAATAACAATTGGTTCCTGCATATACTTCCTCAGAAATGATATAAAATATCTTAAGTTTTTATAATCATAATAATTCTGATAAAATACTTGCACAATTTTTATTGCTCGAAGCATTATTAACATTTCTTTTGAAAGAAGAAAACATTCCATGTAGCCACCTGGCCTATACATAGCAATGTTCTCGAAACTGTTAACGTTATTGTTGATCAATATACATATTTAGAACTCGATTTACTTCTAGCAAATAAACTAATATTTGAACAGTTGAAAACAATGAAAGAAACTTTACCATTGAAATTATTTTACATCACATATTTGAAATTTTTCATGTCCTTTAAATAGTTCTCATTATACAAAGCTGAGCGAAATTTTGCCAAACAAAAAAAAAAAATTTTGCCAAACATATTTGGATTCTCCATCATTAAGTACGATTAAGAGATGGGCAATTTCATTAGGGTTTTTGAACAATATTGCTTATGATAAACCAAGATGGATCTGTTTTAAATGCTAATGGACTGCAATTTATAAATCAAATTAAATGAAGTAATGACGAATAGTGAGATTATGTATTATCCGGTTATTGTATATATATATATAGATATATTTATATACACAATTATCATTTTGAAGCTATGACAATTGTTAATGAAAAAGAATTTAGAAGATATGCTAAATTATCTTATTTATTCAGCAACAGCTCTAGTGTAGATTTGTTGAGTAGAATGCTTAGAGACAGGCTTGATGATACCTCTCTTTTCTAGATCTCTTAGAGCAACTCTAGCTAGAGAACCACCTAACTTTAATCTGTCGACCAAAACAGAGACGGAAATGTATCTGTAAGTTGGAACTTCCTTTAGGATTCTGTCCAACTTTTCTTGGTCTAAGATGACGGCGTGAGCAGCCTTGTCCTTGTGGGACTTCTTGGACCACTTCTTCTTAGACTTCTTACCACCAGCCATGGCAGCAGCGGCTTTAGCAGCCTTGGAAATTTGTTGTTTTGGAGGCATTATTAAATATTCTATAATATAGAAATAAGGGATTTAAAAAAAATCAGAATATTGTTTCTGTTAGTAAAAATTGAACACTTTTCTATACGTTGTATAGTTATGGAATTTGATAGTAATTGATAGTCCATACATTCGGTTACAGTTCAAAATGGGGGGATGTGGGAGGTAGTGTTAAATACACATATTTTATCATATCTTCAATCTATTCATAGGTTGTCATCTATCATTTTATATATACATATTTTTTTTGATTCTATCTTTAATTCTTCCAATAATCACAATCACACATCTAGGTAATATTTCTTTTCTTAAGCTAACAAAAGATCACATCCACACACAACCAAACGCTCCAAATTTTCATATGTTCATCCCCTGCAATATGGAGATGCTTCAATTTCTGCTCGAATCCACGATCGTTTTTTAAAACTATTAATTCCTAACTTCAAAATCTATTGGTCACATACTCTAAAACAAACGTTACTGGTCTTCTTAACTAATGACAAAGTTATAAAACTACCGAAACACTTCACTACGTTTTGTTTTAATACTAGTTAATCTTTAATATCTAAAATTGTATGCTGATAGATTGAAACCCTGATCTTAGTTTGTTCCTTCGCCTTTACAGTAAATATTCCGTACAATTTTGTATTTTTCAACTTTTTTGAAAAAAATCACCGATCTCCGAAGAGAGGAACAGCGGAATGGTAGTGCGATGTACGGGTGCTCTGAGGGAAATGTAAGGATGTTGCAGTCTTGAATGTTGAAAATCTCAGTTTATTCACAATTGTTAATCAGAACTATTCTATAACAATAGTATACTCGATAAGTAATTTCTTGGGTGATAAATGACTATATGAGGAAATACATTGAAAATTGAATTGTAGAGAATTTTAGTGGGGGGGGGAGACACGCCATTGATGACTGCCAATTAGATAACTTGTAATTTCTCGGTAAAATGTGTATTTAAATATATTTTCTCAATTAAATAGTCGAGTCCGGCAGTATGGAAAGCATTAATTACAACTGAACTTCATAATTTTAACAATATTTCAGATTTTGACTCTAAAAAAAGGTGCAATCGTTTTTTCTACAAATTATCAAAGTATATTTTTTTTAATTTTATATTTTGTGCTGGGTTTTGTAATTTTGAAAGACCTAATAACACATTACTCTTTATTTTTTTCTGAATGGTTTCAACCATGTATTACAATAAATAACTATTAGTAACTTGTAGAATCTTTAGAATATCAAAAGGATCGTTATTCAATGATTTACAAGTGAATTTACTTCTTTTCCCACTAAAATTCAAAAACGCAACCGAGTAATAATCCTATCAAAATATTCGTTTTTCATTAAATATTATCCGATATAGTGTAACGGCTATCACATCACGCTTTCACCGTGGAGACCGGGGTTCGACTCCCCGTATCGGAGGGTTTATTTTTTGTAATTTTTCTATGGTGACTTCGTATAAAGTGAGGTTTTAGTGGTTTTCTTAATTTTTCGTTTTTTGTCTTAGAGAACTGAAAATTATTAACTACGATTTTCTTGAAATTCTAAATTATTTGAAGGATGAGCTTAACGATAAAATTACTTTAGTTTAAGATTTTAGACTGCAATATATTCATTCAATTTTGTTAGTTTCATAATACTGAATTAAGTATAACATAATATATCATTCTAGTGTAACATTTTTTATTGTAGAAAGATGTCTAAAAGACTTGCTGATGATCAAATAACGAGAGAAGCATTCGAAGACAACGTTTCTGATGATGAGTCCTCTTCTCAAATACCCAAGACTATTAATGCTTCCGCAGAAGTAATGAGTAAGAGAAAAATTGCAATGCCTAAGAAAAAGATGTCCTTCGCTAATAAAACTAACGCCTCTGTATCTGAAGCGTCTTTTGCCAATGCCTTCAATTTCGCCAAGAAACCTGTATCTAATAACAATAATGAAAAGGGTGCCAAGTTAAAGGCTTTGAATTTGCAATTCAGTAAGAAAATTTCTGAATCTGTAAGCATTGATCCATTTGTAAACTTATCGACACTCTTTGGAAAGTATGAAACCTACGTTAACTCTATCAATGGTGTTACATCCACAAGTATTGCGAACACCGTTCCTATTATTACCGAGAAACCATCCATACCAGAGAAACATGCAGTTACTCTGCCTTCTATCGGAATTCAATTCAATAAGAAGGAACCTGAAAGTGAGGAATCTTCCTCTTCTGATGAAGAAGTTGAAACAAAAGTCGAAGGTCCATCATTTACAATATCATCAAATCCTATCAAATCCGATTCTGTATTTTCATTTAATAAAAAGAAAGTGGAAAAACCAAAGGATGATTCTGATAGTGAAAGTGATATTGAAATTAAGGGCCCAGAATTTAAGATTTCAGGCACTGTAAAATCAGATATATTCAAATTTAATGGCAATGTAGCTGCATCTGATTCTGCTAAACCAACATTTAGTTTATCCAATAATAATGCAGCAACTGCATCATCCAAAGACTCTATAAGTGAAACAAAAGAAGATAAGAAGGCTCTACCCTCATTTAATTTTGGAGCTAACGTTGCCCCAACATCAGACGAAAAAACCGAAAACACAGGTGCAAAATTATCTTTTGGATTTGGAGCAGACTCAACCAAGAAACCTGCTAATGAGGCATTTACTTTTGGTACTAATAACGTATCAACTCAACCTAATGGTTCAAACATATTTGGAAATCAAACAAAAAAGAACGACCAAACTAACACAACTAATACTACGAGTTTTACATTTGGTTCTAAACCAGCTTCAATAGAAGATACCAAAGATTCAACTAACAAACCTTCTTTCATGTTTGGTTCCAAACCAACTTCAACAGAAAATACAGAAACTAATACCCCATCATTTTCTTTTGGTGCCAAAGTATCTACTACTGATACAAACGAGCCAGCGAAAGAAAATCCAACTAAACCAGTTTTCAATTTTGGTGTTACCCCAGTGACTGAAAATTCTACCAAACCAAGCTTCACATTTGGCGCGAAGGATTCTACCGACACTAAGAATGACACAGATGCAGCCAAACCAACTTTTCAATTTGGTGCCAAAAATTCTGAACAAACTAAATTGAGCTTTGGACCAACCGCATCCACAGAAGCTGAAACAACAATAACAAATGAAAACATTAAACCTAAATTTGATTTTTCTGCAAAGAGCACACAGCCAGAATCAGTGGACGACGTCCTTAAAAGTGATAGCGCCATAAAAGCACCATCTTTTTCTTTTGGAACTTCTAATACTACCACAACCCCATCGTTCTCTTTTGGTAAACCAGCACAACCAAATCCATTTGCACCAAGCACATCGTCCACTACGACTGCGAACAATACTGTTCCATCTGGTGGGTTCAAGTTCAGTTTACCTTTTGAACAAAACAAAACACCAGAGGAAAAGAAAACAACCGATGAACCTGTTCAATTAACCACAGAAACCCCAAAAAATACAGCAGACGATGAGAATTCTTCTAGTTTGAAAACGGGAGAGGGTGAAAAGGAAGGCAGTGATTCTGTAGTTTCTATGCAAAATGGTGAAGAAGATGAGACTTCTATTTTCTCTCAAAGGGCCAAATTGATGGTCTTTAATTCAGAGACAAAAGCATACGATTCACGTGGTGTTGGTGAAATGAAAGTTCTTCAAAAGAAAGACGAAAAATCAAAAGCTAGACTTCTTTGTAGATCTGATGGTATGGGTAATGTGTTACTAAATACCAATATTGTTAAGTCGTTCCAATATGTTCCTTTAACAGCGGATAATGAAAATTTGGTGAAGACACCAGTGGTTGACGCCGAAGGTAAATTGATAACGTATATTGTTAAGTTTAAGATGAAGGCAGACGGCCGTGCATTTATGAAGGCGATATCAGATTGCCAAAAGGATCTTGATTAGGAGAAAGATAATACCTGTTGAGATATATGTTGTTATTTATACTCGATACTTAATTTTCAAGATCAATAAATCTAAATATCATCGATTTATGCAAAATATTGGTACGACACAACGTTTATAGATGGTCGCCTGTATGCTTTTTTCTGTACTAATATATACATTATATATATATTTGATAATGAACATCAAATGTATACCATTATTAATGCAACTGACCAGTCAAGGTCACTTAATATCCTTCATCGTCGGCGATATCTTTAGTTAAACTGCTAAACATTGGAAGAGCCCATTTTATTCTTCTCTTATCTCTCATATATGCCTTAGATTTATGATCCGGATCTAAGTAGTTCTCGTACTTTAATTTATTACTCAAAAACCATCTAAGACCCCTCAATATGGTACCTTTTGTTTCACCTACGGCATTACTATTGATTAGTGCAACCATGTTATCTTCTTTGTATTTATATATTTTTTTTCCATCACTTTTGGTTGTAACTTCAGATCTTTTTGCGATTGTTTGGAATAATTGGTATATCATTACCTCTATAAATAAATTACCATCTGTAGTTAGACCACTTATTAACGGGACATGCTTGAATATATCCAATTTCAATATACCTTGGCCCAATAAACTTCCAAAGAATTTGCCTTGATTAGCAATAGTTCTCAATCTCACACTCTCATCAGTAATGTCGTCCTCTATATCATCTTCTGAATCAGAATTATCGTTATCTTCGTATTTTTGAATGGTATCCCAGAACAAAAATTGAAACGACTTCAACAAATTATGATGTTGCTCACACAACTTTGTAGCAACCAATGTGTAGTACTGGTTATAGCCGTTCTCTTTACTGTCAGCTAACAGACAGTTTAATAGGACTCTTGGCGACTCTAATATTTGTTTATTTTTCAAGCCCAATTTTTCGATTTTTTCAAATGCATCTACGTAGTCCTGAGCAGACATAATACTAACAAAAATTGCACGACGAACATCAGTATTCATCCTATTCTCTTTAGCAATTTGGGTCCAATCCGGAATGTCGTCTAATAGATCATGCTCTAATAAGAAATTATCCTTGACTTGAGAATTGCCACCTGTGGTCGTGTTTTCCTCCAATGCAGAGCTCATATTACCTCTCCAGGAGGCACCCACTAACCACCACTTACCAGTTGTATCAACATTTTCAATATCTTTTAAGGATACCTGAAGAGGTTCCATTGCGGACGAGATTGCCTTAAATGTAGATGTGACGACTTTCTTAATTGGATGGAAGTCTGCCGCCAAAACGGATGGTTTTAACCTGTTATTCTTCAGATCTGTCATAGTACTCATTAAGAACTGTAATCTCGGACTTGGATTTTCAATTTGCTTAACGTTGGTCAAAAGTTGTGACATAATCTCTTTCAGGGCGAATGGGTCGTCACCTCTAATTTGCTGACCTGATACAGCTACTATTCTAAGTAGTAATTCTGTTGTTAAAACATTAGATTCGGAGACTAACAACCCAATGATATCATATAATAACTTACAGGATATAAACCCAAAATCGTAAGTGTATGATAAAAGTGTAATAATATTTAGTGATTCCTTTGGCAAAATAGTTGCATCCTCTGACTTCGTACTCAAAAATTCTTCCTTTTGTTTCTTGAATTGATTTAGAAACAATTCCACTGTAGACTGAATGAAATATGCACCAATCTCGAGACCTCTCAGCCTAAATATAGCAAATGAAACTGCTGCGAAATTCAAAACATGTGTGTCAAGTAATCTATTTTTTTGAACAACCATCTCTAAGATCTGTTCTGTAATAATCTCTGTGACATATTGACGTGGATATGAATCAAATAATTCATCTAGAGTTTTAATAATATGAGTAATGTTTGACTCAGACAATCTATTTAAACCAGATTTCACTTTCTTGGTGATTTCAATTGAAACACTAGATTGAGCACGGTTTTTCTGTAGTTGATTTTTTCTCAAGGAAGGTGGGACATATGCTCCAGCATCCGTAGATACTGAATTGGCTGCAACGTAAGGATTTTCCTTTGTTCTTTTTCCACTGCTTCTTTCTGAATGCTCATCCCCATCTTCTTCACTTTCATTATCTTCATCTTCTAATTCATTCAATTGATTCCATTCGTCTTCATCTAAATCACCATCATCAAACTCATCAAAGTCACCTTCAGATAGTTCATCATCGGAGGAGAACGGTTTATCTTCATTTCTATTATTACTTTTTGCTCTTGACTTATCATTTTCAAAAGCAAAATCACCATATTCTTCATCACTTGCCCCATAATTATCTACAAAATCCAAACCTTCTAACAAACCACCAATGGCATCAAATTCATCTTGTGCAGAAATTCTTTTTTTACCATTTTTTAATTTCAACTTCTTTGCATAGTATTGCATGTCCATTTCATCTCTTTCCATAGCCATACGTTCTGAAGGTGGTAATGGATAGCTTTCTTCTGTTTCTGAATCAACGTGTTTTGCATCTATTTTTTTTTTGTTAGATTTTTTGGATTTTAATAAAGCCATAGTATCTTCTGCATTCATATCACTTTTTTGAGCGTTTTTCTTCTCTTTTAGTCTTTTCAACTGATCCATTACATCTTCACCATCTTCACCATCTTCGCCTGATTGATTTTCATAATATTCTTCATCATTGGAAATTATCTCATCTGATTCGGCAAAGTCATCACCCGATTCGTCTCCTTCAAGAGATTGTAATTGTTTCATTTCTTCCTCATCAAGGTCATCTTCATCAAATTCTTCAAAATCACCAGCGGATAATTCATCGTCAGATGAAAATGGCAGCTCAGTATCTTTTATCTTGTCTTTAGATAGAATCTTGGTCTTCTTACTTGGAGTCTTCACTCTATTATTCTGTAAAATTTTCTTTAGAGGCTTATTAGTTTGGTCACCTTCATGGGTGCTATCATTTCCTCTATTTATTCTTTTATTCTTCTTTTCAGAACGTTGTTGTTTTCTCCTTTCCTTTCTGCCTAGTTGTTTAGTAGAACTTCTCTTCTTGGATTGATTGAAACGATCATCGTTAGAATAGTCACGATCCTTCAGTTCATCTAAGATAATCCCTGGAATATTAATACCACCTTGCTGTTGTTGTTTATGTCTCCTCGACATTGCTTTTACTAATACTTATCACAATGGCTTTTTGTATGTCACTACGTTGAAATAATCTCCATTTATTATTATTTGTAAAGTCATCTCATCGATTATTTTAAATATATATTATTATTTCAAAAAAATTTTCAAACCATTTTCCAAATTATGTCACAAGCCCGCGATGGGCTTTTTTTTACTTAATGCGGACCTTACATAATCAACTTTAATTATTGTGTGAAAGTGAAAGTTAAGGCTATATTTACTGGATCTAACTCTCAGATGTAATATTTCCTCGAGGATACAACATTGTTCCAAACGATACAGATTATATGAAGTATGCTAAATCCAGGGGAGAGAGTAGAGATAGGACCTTCTGGCAGAAAGATCATATATGATGCTGATGGGAAGCCGTATGTATTAGTAGAAATTTAATTTATAACTGAATTACCATTTAATGATGTGAATAATATTACTAACATTAAGGATACCAGATGTCGATCATGTAATGAATTTAATGATTTCCAATTTGTGACAGGTAAAGTGAAAAATGCTGCAGCCGGCGTAACAACTAGGCTTGCTACTGTAAGTTCGGATGATTTAATTCCAGGGTCTAGAACTTATACAAAAGTACCTCCTCCTGATGTAAATCAACTGGGTCGTTCTTCATGGACAATGCTTCACGCTATGGCTGCAAAATATCCAAAGGATACTCCTACGAACACCCAAAAGGAGGAAATGACTAATTTTCTGAAAATATTTTCTCATGTGTATCCATGTACTTGGTGTGCAAAAGATTTTGAGAAGTATATTAGGGAAAATGCTCCAAAAGTTGATAATAGAGAACAATTAGGTAGATGGATGTGCGAGGCTCATAATCACGTAAACAAGAAGTTAGGAAAACCTAAGTTTAATTGTAACTTCTGGGAGAAACGTTGGGTTACCGGTTGGGATGACGAATAATTTGGTTATCATCGAAATCTATTTACATGTAAATAAATATATATACATTTCGTATGCAAATATAAGACACATAAGGATATTTTATAAAAATAATTATTGCACAATGCTGAACCTTAAAATTTAAAATGATCGTCTCTTCATAATCTTAATATATATATCTATCTATATATGTATGTATTTACTACATTATCAATTACTTGTATAAACTCAGGTTTAATGGTACAGTACTACCACTACCACTTGGATATAGTTTTTTTAAACCATCAAATCTTCTTGGTGTCGGTATTTGTGATGCATTGACATCCCAATTGAATCGAGAATCATCAATTACAATTTTTTTATCATTTTGGGTAGAATGAGCAGAGTCGACACTTAATGTATATGATTCAGGTTTAATCTTAGCGGTACCCGCTGACATCGTGCTTTCACCACTACCAAATAATCTACCCTTAATCGGTTTCGATGTTGAAAAACTAGATGAGGTAGGACGTGGAGATGTTGTAGATGAAGGGACTTTATGAGGGCTTTCATTTGACAAAACTGGAGATGGGGATGTTGCTGGTGGAGGTGGAGGGGCAGAAGGTATAGATGCAGCAACTGGAGGTGGGGGAGGAGCATGCATAGTTGGTAAAATATTAGAAGGTGGAGGTGGTGGAGACATTGGTATACTGGGGGCGCTTGAAACCGGTATAGATGGAGCAGTTACAATGGGGATAGATGGAACATGGGCAGGTGCTGATGGAATACCAGGGGCACCCATAGATGGGAGTGATGGAGCAGTAGGAGCAGCAACGGGTGGAGGTGCCGGTGCACTTGGTATCGATGGTGTAGCGCTTTCTGGATGTTGATGAGCTTTCATCTTTGATTCTATTTCATTTAAGAAGGACATACCTGCACCTGCTGGAGTTGGTGCAGGTGGTGCAGTTGGAGGTTCAGGTGTTGCATATGTTGAATGATTTGATACAGGAAGTGAAGGAGTAGCTACTGTACTAGGTTGTTCTGCAGCTGTTGTATATGATGAATTTTCTGTTACAACAAATCTATCGTCTCTTTTCTTTTGAATCTCTGCTAAAAATGGAAGTGGACCACCAGAAGAACTTGATGGTGGTGGTGCAGTAGAAGTAGAGGATGACGAGTGACTCTTGTTAGGTTTTTGAGATTTAGTCATCATTGAAGGTGGGGGTGGAGCCATTGGCATTGAAGGTGGAGCAGGTGGAGCAGGTGGAGCAGGAGGAGCAGGAGGAGCAGGAGGAGCAGATGTAGCAGGAGGAGCAGATGTAGCAGGAGGAGCTACAGGAATAAATGATGGTGGAGCAGGTGGAGCAGGAGGAGCTTGCATACTTGGTATACTTGGTGCACTCATTTTTGGAATTGCAGGTGCAGATGATGAAGGTACTGAAGGTATACTTGGTGCAGTCATCATTGGAATTGCTGGGGCATTAGTTGGTGGAGGTGGTGCCATTGGTATACTTGGTGCTCCTGATGATGATGATGATTTCTTTTTATTATGTGAATGTTTAGATGGATGTGATGGTATAGAAGGTGAAATTGTGGATTTTTGATTGGCGGGATTATTTTTTACATTTGAACCATCTACGACACCTTTATTTGATCTTCTTGCATTAATTTCACCTAAGAATGGTAAACCACCACTAGAAGGTACCGATGATGAATTTATAGTACTTGTAGATGTTGATAAATTTTCTTTAACACTAGGAGCAGGAGGAGCAGGTGGAGCAGGAGGTGCTGCAGGTATAGATGAAGGTAGTACCGGCGGGGCTGCAGGTATAGATGAAGGTAGAGCAGGCGGAGCAGGCGGAGCTGAAGGGATAAATGATGGAGGGGCAGGAGGAGCCACAGGTATAGATGTCGATGCTAGTCCTGGAATACTTGGTGCAGACGAAATAGGGGGAGGAGGTGGAGCTGAAGGTGCTTGAGTTGATGTATTCGTTACTGGAGGTGGAGGAGGAGCACCAGGGATTGGTGGTGCAGATGCAATAGGAGGCATTGGAATATTAGACATTGAAGATTTTTTCTTATGCGTACCTCTTTTTGGTCTTGAACTTGGCATTGATGGAGCAGATGTTGAAGGAATTGATGGAGCAGATGTTGAAGGAATTGATGGAGCAGATGTTGAAGGAATTGATGGAGCAGATGTTGAAGGAATTGATGGAGCAG